TGCGTGCATTTAATCCTAGGACTCGGGAGGCAGAGGTAGGCGGATCTCCTTCAAGGCCAGCTTGGTCTACAGAGCAAGTTCCAGGACAGCCAGGGCTACACAGAGAAACCCTGTCTGGCAAACACACACACACACACACACACACACACACACACACACACACACACACACACACCAAATTAGATAGGCAGAAATGCTTTATTTCTTCATCAGCCATGAATATGGCTGTCTGCCTATGAGTGGCATGTTACTTTCAACAGCACACATTTAGCTCCTGCCTCCTAGGGCCTAAAGAGATGTTGCCTCTGCCCACGGATTATTCTATCAGCTGAGACAACAGAACCAAGTACTTTGAACTTTGCCAAAGGATTCTGTGCCTCACTCCACAGATGTTTAGTATTGTTTTTTGTTTTTTTGCTCTTTCAGGGGGCCTGCCACCCAGCTCCCAAATAAATCACAGGGAGGCTTAGTCTTAATTATAAATGCCAGGCCTTTGCTTGGCTTGTTTCTTTTTTTGTGTGCTATTGTTTTTATTTAGTATTTCTTTTTATTTCTCTTTATTATTATTATTATTATTATTATTATTATTATTATTATTATTATTATTATTATTATTTGCTTTTGCTGTGGTCACTATCATTTGCAAAGTTCTTTTTTCAACGTTCCTGGACTTGGGGCTCCTGGCTTTGAAAGGTTCCACTCAGGCTGAAGGTAGCTTGGCTAGTTTCTAACCAGCTTTTCTTAACTTTAAATTACCCCATTTATCTTTTGCCTTTGGGCTTTTCCTGTTCTCTTACTTCTGTAAATCTTACTCTTACTCTTTGGCTTGCTGTGTAGCTGGGTGGCTGGCCCCTGGAGTCCTCCTCCTTCTCTGGCTACTGCTCTTTTTCTCCTCCCAGATTTCTCCTTCTATATAGTCTCTCTGCCTGCCAGCCATGCCTATCCTTTCTCCTGCCTTGCTATTGGCCATTCAGTTCTTTATTAGACCATCAGGTATTTTAGACAGGCACAGTAACACAGCTTCACAGAGTTAAACAAATGCAACATAAACAAAAGTAACACCCTTTAAAATAATATTCTACAACACTTTAGTTTATTGTCCTTTGTTTTGTTTTAGACAGCCTTACTTTGTAGCTCGGACTGGCCTGGAATCCCTAATCCTCCTGCCTCAGTGTTACCAGTATTAGGGCTAACATAGGATTAAGAACCCATTGGTGTCAAGCATGCTCTGGGCTCTGTAGAAGCAGTGGGGAGGGAGATTTTTGCTTGCAAGAGGCATGTGTATGGGAACCTTTGCAAAGCACAGGGGAGAATTGAAGTGCTCAAAAGTCCAAGTTCCTTCCTGCCAGCCATGGAAACCCAAATCTCTGCCTTCACAGAATGAGGGTGACAGTATCATAGGGCTCAGAGGTTACCAGAGGGCAGGACAGGCTCAGATGGCTAACTCACAAATGCGTTTGATGTTCGAGCAGATGCAAAGACATCCAGAGAATAGTCGAGGCCTTCACAGTGCACTCATAGTCTGGGGACTTAACAGTCCAGCTCCTTTGGCTTCTCTTTTTTTTATTTTTTTATTTTTATTTTTTTTCAGCTTCTCTCTTTTTTTTTTTTTTTTTTTTTCGAGACAGGGTTTCTCTGTGTAGCTTTGCGCCTTTCCTGGAACTCACTTGGTAGCCCAGGCTGGCCTCGAACTCACAGAGATCCGCCTGGCTCTGCCTCCCGAGTGCTGGGATTAAAGGCGTGCGCCACCACCGCCCGGCCTCAGCTTCTCTTTCAACCATGCTTCAAAGCAGTTTCTGCATCATTCCTACCTCCAAGCCATTCCATTTGTTGCCTACTCTGCACTCAGGCCCTTACTCTTGGTCTCTCCCGAGACCTAGACCGAACGTTGGATTTAAACACCCATCTGTGGCAAGATGGCTCAGTGAATGAAGGTGCTTGCTGCCAAGCCTGATGACCAGAGTCATCCCCAGGGCCCACATAGTGTAGGAGAGAACCAACTCTCAAGGGTTGCCCACTGACTGCCCGGTGGCCGTGGTACAGTGTCCTCTGATACAGTGTCCTCCTTAATAATAAATGCATGTGAACATTTTAAAACAAATCCATCACTCCTTTGGTCATTACTTGGAAGATGTTGGTGGGAGAGGCTCAGTCTGGCCAGTTCCATCTGTGTCATGTGCTGGACTGTAAAACTCAGCAGATGTAGGCTGGAGATATAGTTCAGTTGGAAGCCCTGAGTTTAGTACCCAGCATTGCATAAATTGGGAATGGTGGCACACACCTATAAACCAGCACCCTGCCTGCCTCACCCTCTCAAATACTGTAATTACAGGTGTGAGCCACCATGCCTGGCTTGGGGTGGGTCCTTTATCCAAATGTTGTACTGTGGTAGAATACATGATATAAAATTTACCTTTTAGTGCACAGCTCAGCAGCACTAAACAGTTCCCAATGCTACACACCCAGCACCCATCTCCAGAGCTTTCCCATCTTTTCAGACTGAAACTCCATTCCCATTAAACACTGCCTCCTTCCCCAGCCTCTGGCATCCACTATTTTTCTCTCTATAGATGAGTCTAGGGATCTCATGTAGGTGGGACCCTGAATACTTGTCTTCTATGACTAGCTTATTTCACTTGACGTAGTGCCCTTTGGTTCATCCATATTATACTACCTGTCGGCATCCCTCCTTTTGAATGTCTTTTTTTTATGTTTCATAAAATCTTTATTGACAAATAGTTCACATAGTATACAATTTGCCTGTTTGCACAATTTGATAGACTTTAGTCCAGCATCCTCATAGGCCCATGACATCAGCACCACTTTCTATTTTAGAACATCGCTGTCTTCAGTTTCTTTTTGTTTGTTTGTTTTTTTGTTTGTTTGTTTTTTGTTTTTTAATTTTCCAGAGCTGAGGACTGAACCCAGGGCCTTGTGCTTGCTAGGCAAGCGCTCTACCACTGAGCTAAATCCCCAACCCCTGTCTTCAGTTTCATACACACATATAATGTATAGTTTATTACATTCCACTCTATTTTTTAAATGAACATAATATTTGTAATTGTAACCATTTTTAAGTTCACAATTCAGTGGCATGAATTACATTCAAGATATTAATTACACTCATGATATTCATTAATTACACTCATGATATTAATTACATTTGTGGTGTTCATTGATTACATTCGCGGTATTGAGAGTCTTTTTAAAAAACAAGATTTCCGCCGGGCAGTGGTGGCGCACGCCTTTAATCCCAGCACTCGGGAGGCAGAGCCAGGCGGATCTCTGTGAGTTCGAGGCCAGCCTGGGCTACCAAGTGAGTTCCAGGAAAGGCGCAAAGCTACACAGAGAAACCCTGTCTCGAAAAACGGGAAAAAAAAAAACAAAAAAACAAAAAAACAAAAAAAAAAAAAACAAGATTTCCCTATGTAGCCTTGGTTGGTCTAGAACTCAGTTATACAGACTAGCCTTGACATGAACTCACAGGGATATTCTCTCTCTCTCTCTTTGGGATTAAAAGTGGGTGCCACTATATCTGACTCTTTTAAGGTCTTTATCTGGGTTTTTATCCCCTCTTCTTGTTTTCCTTTAAATTAAAGCAATACAAGTCAGCCTAATATTCCCAGATGAAGCAGCCAAGTCAATCTAAGGCTCTGGGCAGGCCCAGAGGAGCATCTGGCACTGCCTGTGCACACTGGTCTCTGGCCACTGTCCCCCATGCTGCCTTTGCAAGGATGGACATTTGGACAAAGACTTTAAAGCTTGCTCTATTGGCAGAGATGGTGCAGAGTCTCAGAGAATCATTTAGTTTTCTTTGCCAAAGGGGAATTTAAAAAATTATGCCGAGTCAGAAGTACTGTAGACATTGAATCCTTTTAGATGTTTTAATTCATCCCCTGCTCTCAGACCATAAGCCTGAGTTCTAGAGCTGTGCTTCTGAGAAATAAATGTAAATGAGTTGGCAAAGTCCTCATGCAAACTACCTCAGGCTTTCAGAGCAAGAGAAACTAACTCAATATAAATCACCAATTTTATTGTATTGTATTGTATTAACCTTTTTTTTTTTTTTTTTTTTTTTTTTTTTTTTTTTTTTTTTTTTGGTTTTTCAAGACAGGGTTTCTCTGTGCAGCTTTGTGCCTTTCCTGGAACTCACTTGGTAGACCAGGCTGGCCTCGAACTCACAGAGATCCACCTGCCTCTGCCTCCCGAGTGCTGGGATTAAAGGCGTGCGCCAACACCGCCCGGCCTGTATTAACCTTTTAAAAAAAGATTGGTGTTTATCTTGTGGGGGATTATATGTGAGACACAGTGTGGATGTGGAGATTAGAAGATAACTGCTGTCATTTGTATGTTTGGCCTGGAAAGACAGCTGTGGTAAAGAGCATGGACTCTTCCAGAGGACCTGAGTTGAGACCCCTGCTCTCACGTTGGGCATCTCACAGCTACCTGTAAATCTAGCTTCATTAGATCCAACACCCTCTTCTGTCCTCCAGGGCACCTAGACTCACGTGCACAAACCCACACAGAAACTTACACACATATATGTAATTTTAAAATATAAAACAAATCTTGGCCGGGCGGTGGTGGCGCACGCCTTTAATCCCAGCACTCGGGAGGCAGAGCCAGGTGGATCTCTGTGAGTTCGAGGCCAGCCTGGTCTCCAAAGCGAGTTCCAGGAAAGGCGCAAAGCTACACAGAGAAACCCTGTCTCGAAAAACCAAAAAAAAAAAAAAAAAAAACTTTTAAAAAGTGTATATTAATAGGTGTCTGGAAATGTATAGGTTTTATGAAAATGCCAATATATAAAGTATTGTTTTATTCTTGTACTTTATTTTAATATTCTAATTTTTTGTGGTTTTTCGAGACAGGGTTTCTCTGTAGCTTTTGGAGTCTGTCCTGGACTAGCTATGTAGACCAGGCTGGCCTTGAACTCACAGAGATCCACCTGCCTCTGCCTCCCGAGTGCTGGGATTAAAGGTGTGTGCCACCACCGCCCGGCACTGGCACTATTCTAATATTTTTAATGCATTTTCTGAATACAGTATTTTTAGTATTTTAGTACCTCTTCCTCCTGTAAGCAAACTGATATAAAAGCAATAACTACTGGCATCTCTGAGAAACAATAGAAAATGCTGCTTTTCTACATGATGTCACCATACATATGCAAACCATTTTGGCAGTGAACAAATTTAAAAGATTATCCCCAAATTCAAAAAAAAAAAGGTCACATAAACTTAAAGTTGTCTTGAGGATATTCTCAGATCTTCCAATGAGTCTGGCACTCTGAAAACAGGCAGAAGGATTGTGAGTCTAAGACCAGCCCTCAGTAGATAGCAACACTTTGTCTCAATAAATTCATAAATAATGGACATGTTGACTCAGGCCTGTAATCAGGAATTCAAGGTCATCCTAGGCTACAGAGTGAATTTGAGGCCAGCCTGGACTACATAAGGCCATGTCTCAATAAATTCAAATAAAATGAAATGAAAACAGTGGCTGAGCACATAGTGGAGTTGGTAATGTCATGATCCGGCATTCATGAAGCCCTGGGGCTCAGTCCTTAGCACTACATAAACCAGGCATGGTATCATATGCCTATAATTTTGATCTCAAACTCCAGGAGACAGAGGCAGGAGGATCAGAAATTCAAGGTCGTCTTAAACTACACAGTAAGTTTAAGCAAATGTGCAGGATAAAAATGAAAGAATTTACTTACATACACTCCCTACAGCAGGGCGAGGTAATAAACGCTTGTAATTCCAGTATTCTGGAAGGTGAGTCCAGGATCAGTTTGGGCTAAGTAGTGAGTCTTGGGTCAGCCTGGGGGTATATAGCAAGACACTATAAAAATAAATTTAGGGCGGTGGTGGCACATGCCTTTAATCCCAGCACTTGGGAGGCAGAGCCAGGCGGATCTTTGTGAGTTCGAGGCCAGCCTGGTCTACAGAGCGAGATCCAGGAAAGGTGCAAAGCTACACAGAGAAACCCTGTCTTGAAAAACCAAAAAAAAAAACCCCAAACCTTAGAATAGGCAAATTTACAGAAGCAAAGTAGGTTAGAGGTTACCAGGAGGTAGAGGAAGGAGATTGGGAGCTCATTCTTTAGAATGTTGGAGAAGGTGATCATTGCATTGCAATTAAAGTAATTAGTGTTATTCAACTGAGCATGTAAAAATGGTTTAAGTAAGAAATAGAAAAGAGGAGGAGAAGCTGAAATGGTCACAACGTGTCATAATACTTGACCACTGTGACAAAAGAGAAAACAGACCCACCCTTCTCTATCCCAACAGCTCCACAGAGCTAAAATGCACAGCCTCGAGACTGACCAGTCCCCATGCTGGCTCCCTCCACCCTTCTAGACTCCTCTCTCAGGAGGTGCCTCCTCAGATCCTTCCTGTCCAGCTGCTGGGCTGGGCTGGGCCTGAGCCCAAGCTCCTGGCCCAGTTCCACAAGCCTCTCTGGTTTCCTAATGAGTCATTCCCTTCTCTGAGTAGCCTAGCACTCTCTGCCACACACCACCCTACCCTGCCCTGTCATCCCTCAGCTGAGTCATCTGGGCTCACCCAGGACTTTCTGCTCAGTAATCATGTGGACCAAGAGAAAGAAAAAGGACCACAGCAAAGCAAGGACGGCCCCCAAAACATGTGCCGTGCTCATGGGAAAGGCTGCCAGGGGCTAGCCTGAGCTCTGCCATCTGTTAACAGCAGGAACTCTGGCTGCCCCTCTCTGGACGTGTTTACTCTTCTGTAAGATATGTGTCCACGCTGAGATCTACAAGGGTGTTTTCCATTCTGAGATGTTAAATAAAAATTACAGGCCACTGATTTTGTTGGTTTGGTTTGGTTTGGTAGGGTTTGAACCAAGGGTTTCTCCAGTGCTAAGCAATGCTCTACCACTGAGCCACATTCCAGCCAGGGGTCCACAGTTTTGGACAAAGGAGACCCAACAGGCCAGACTAGAAATCAAAATGGAGGTGGTGGCCACAGCACTCGCCTTTAATTCCAGCACTTGGGAGGCAGAGACAGATTAGACCTCTGTGAGTTTGCAGGCCAGCCTGGTCTACAGAGTAAGTTCCAGGACAGGCTTCAAAGCTACACAGAGAAACCCTATCTCAGAAAATTAATTAATTAGTTAATTAATTTTGAGCTACCCTCACTGAAGTTCCACAGTCACCAAGTGAAACCCATGTTTATCTCACTTTCCAAGAAATTTGGATCAGCGAGATAGCAGCTGGATTTCCAGACTGACAGTTTCAATCAGTGTGGTAAGGAAGTTCCCTCTGCTTTCATCCTCACACAGGAGTAAGCCAAGACAGCCTGGTGACTCATCAGTTACCTCTCTATTGCTGTCTCTGCCTTACAAGGAACGGAGCTGAAATGACCAATCCATTTCCTGGTTTGTTTTTCTCTCCTGTCTCCAGGCTCTTCCGTTTGCAAAACCAACTTCTTTTACTTGGACCACACAAAACTTACTGGGTTTAGGGAATGAAATCTTGCTTGGTTTTGTTTACTTTTTGTTTTGTCTTAAGGCAGAACTTCATATAGCCCAGTCTGGCTCCTAACTGTGTGGCCAAGGATGACTTGGAGTCCCTGATCCTCCAGTCTCCATCTCCCAGGTCCTGGGTCAAGAGGCATGCACCACCATGGCCTGCTTTCATTTGCTTTTGGTGGTGGTGTTACTAGAGCAAACCCAGGGTCTTGTGCACACTAGAAATGCTTTATGTCTGAGCTTTATCCCCATCCTCATTTTACTTTTTGTGGCTGGGTTTCATTAAACTGCCTAAACTGGCCTTGAACTCTAGGCCAGTGTAGGCTACATAGGATCTAGTTTCAAAAGGGGAGGGCAGTGTATATGTGAACTGTTGATAGTGGGGAAATGAGAAAAAACATTTTTTCTCCAGTTCTGGATACAGGTCTTTATCAACATAAACACACAGACCTGGCCCCAGGCCCTGTGAGGGTAAACATGTCCTCTCAGTATAATGCGCTGCACACTAGGATATTCCTAACCCAGTGTGGTCAGAGTGTACAAATCATACCTATAACCAACATGCTGGGGTTACTAGATTGAAGGTCCCCTAGACAGATTGGTCCCAGGAAGTTCTCCCTGCTCCAGAATGCTAATGCCTCCTGTAGAATGGGAGCACACTGTCCCCTACAACTCTCCAAATCCTTGAAGGTTGATAAAGTCTCTGACTAAGGGTTCTGGGTCTTCCCTGATGGTTCCAGTATGCCGGGAGCCAACTGCTAGGAGACTGCAGGAGGAACATCCTGATACAATACCCACCTAGAAATTATGGCACTCTCTATGAGGTGATTGGTTTTTGATTTTTTTTTAATTTATTTTTTTTTTTATGTGCATTGGTGTTTTGTCTGTATGAAACTGTCAGATTCTCTGAAAGTGGAGTTACAGGCGGTTGTGAGCCGCCATGCGGGTGCTGGGAATTGAACTCAGGTCCTCTGGAAGAACAGTCAATGCTCTTAACCACTGAGCCATCTCTCCAGCCCTGAGGTGATTGGTTTTTTGAGATAGGGTCTCAGTATGTAGTCCAGACTCTCTCTCTTTCCCTTTTAATTTTTCAAGACAGGATTTCTCTGTGTAGCTCTGGCTGTCCTAGAACTTGCTCTGTAGACCAGGCTGGTCTTGAACTTACAGAGGTCCACCTATCTCTGTCTCCAGAGTGCTGGGATTAAAGGCCTATACCACCACAGCCATTTCAAGTAGTCCAGACTCTGAATACTTTTGCCTTACTCTCTGGGTGCTGGGGTCACAAGCGTGAACCACTGTCTATTATTTACACATGAAAGATAGAAGAGTAGAGAACCCATAAGACTGTGCTCCTAGGCTGTTACTATGCATCACTTCAGCAGATGGAACTGGGGAGACAGAATTGCCTTTCATGTAAATTCTGATTATATTGCTTCGTAAAGAGTGCTTATTTGTGAATTGCTTTTGTAATTCTTTCAAATTTTAAGGAAATTTTAAGATAAATTGACAAAGATTATAAAGGTATTTTGTTTGTCTGTTTTTTTTTTTTTTTTTTTTTTTTGGTTTTTCGAGACAGGGTTTCTCTGTGTAGCTTTGCGCCTTTCCTGGAACTCACTTGGTAGTCCAGGCTAGCCTCGAACTCACAGAGATCCACCTGGCTCTGCCTCCCGAGTGCTGGGATTAAAGGCGTGAGCCACCACCGCCCGGCGTTTGTCTGTTTTATTTTGTTTTGTTTTTCAAGACAGGGTTTCACTCTGTAGACCAGGCTGGCCTGGAACTCTCAGAGATCTGTCTGCCTTTGCCTCCTGAGTGCTGGGATCAAAGGTGTGCACCACCACCACTGCATGGTAAAGGTTTCTTCTTGTTTGTTTGTTTATTTTTGACCTAGGATGTTATCATGTAACCCTGGCTAGCCTGAAAGTCACTATGTAGACCAGGCTAGCCCCAACTCATAGAGCTCTACATGCCTCTGTCTCCCATGTCCTGGGACCAAAGGCATGCACCACCATATCTAGCATAAAAGGACATTTTTATCATTTAAAATGGCAGAGTGAAAATATTCACCAAGGTTGTGTGATGCCACACCCTCATAGTCACAGCTCTTGTGAGGCAGAGACAGGCAGATCTCTGGAGCTTGCTGGCTGGCCAGCCTAGCTGAATCAGTTCCAGGCCAGTGAAAGAACTTCAAAAAATAAGGTGGATAACTCCTAAGGAAAAATGTCCAAGGCTGATTTCTGGCTTCCAAATACATATGTATGCACACACATGAACATGCATAACCACCTACATACACAAGAAAAAGTTAAGTATGAATTTCTGCTTTAGTTACAAAATTAAAGCCGGGCGGTGGTGGTGCATGCCTTTAATCCCAGCTCTCAAGAGGCAGAGGCAGGCGATCTCTACTTAGTCTACAGAGTGAGATCCAGGACAGGCTCCAAAGCTACACAGAGAAACCCTGTCTTGAAAAACCAAAAAAAAAAAAAAAAAAAAAAAGTAAATATGCACGTGGACAGGACTGGTAACTAGACTCTTTTCATGACCCTAGGATAGGTGGCCTCAAGCTTGTATTAGTGCACCTTTGTCAAAATGCATCCTCTGTGGGTGTAGACTCACGGGGATTATCAATCGTGCTTTTCAAATGATAAAAATTCCCTTTTCTGTTTTGCCTTTCATTTTTGCTGTACTAGGGACAGACCCAGGGTCTCCCAGATGCTAAGCACAAAACCCTCCCTCTTTAAACACAAGCTGACAGGCCATCCCTAAAACACATTCAGACAAGCTGCTGACCTTTGGAAAGCGAATCAAAGACTATATTGAGAAAGGACTGTAACCAGGCTTGGCTGTCATGGGAGTTATTTAGAGCACAAGTCCTTGCTCAGTTCCATCCCAGGGTAGGGGCCACAGGGGTCATTGGGACATGCTGACAGCTGCTGTGTTCTGGGTGCAGAGAGGATGTGCACTAAGCTGGGTCTTGGGAAGGAAGCCATGGAACTTCCTCACAGGCTCTGCCAGGAAAGCACATGCTGTTCAAATAGATCACTGTTCCCCGGGCTGAAAAGTAAAGCCAGTGCTAAATGGTTCACATCACCTGGCTCCACTCTCCAGGAGCAACAAGAAACAAAATGATAAAATTTCAAATTGTGGTGTCGTTTAAGTGTTTACTATTTTATTGTATGATTTTATTTTTGAGATAGTTTCTCTATGTTGCACTGGCTGGTCTGGAACTTACAACTCACTACATATCTATATGTATATGTATGTATGTATGTATGTATGCATGTATGTATGTATCGTGCTGGCCTCAAACTTGCAGCAATCCTCTTGCCTCTGTCT